AACAAGCAGCCTCGACGCCGGAAAGTTCAAGATTTTGAGAGAGAATCAGATTGCAAGTATTCAAAAATCCTGAAAAATAGAATTTTCTCACCTTTTATAGAGGTCCAGGATGAACCTCAGCCGTCAGATCGAATCTCAGTCAATCTGAGCCCTTCATTGTAGATCAAATCCGAGGCGTTGAATTTAAACGATTTTTCAAACCTACGCCTCAGATTCAAGCCTGCTTTCCACGCGCCCCATCCAACGCGTCTGCTTCTAGAAGTTCCAGCTGCCATCATAATTGTGTTTTTAATTTGACGGCAGTAGGCGCCTTGGAAGTCGTAACGGTTTAGTCACTTTTCTTCGAAAACAAGCACAAAACATCAAATCATTAGCACAGCTATCGAGGCACAATCATTACCATTAAACCTCGCTTCTTCTTCAACATTCAGCCGACAAGCCTCGCAGGTTCGGTTTCCCAACTGCCTCGACTTCTTCTTCAACATTCAGCCACCAAGCCTCGCAGGTTCGGTTTCCCAACCACCTCGGCTTTTTCTTCAACATTCAGCCATCAAGCCTTGCAGGTTTGGTTTCCCAACCAAACCTCGGCTTCTTCTTCAACATTCAGCTATCAAGCCTCGCAAGTTTGGTTTCCCAACCACCTCGGCTCCAACTTCAACATTCAGCCAACAAGTCTCACAGGTTCGGTTTCCCCAACTACCTCGGCTTTTTCTTCAACATTCAGCCATCAAGCCTCGAAGGTTAGGTCTCCCAACCACCTCGGCTTCTTCTTCAACATTCAGCCACCAAGCCTCGCAGGTTCGGTTTCCCAACTACCTCGACTTTTTCTTCAATATTCAGCCATCAAGCCTCGCAGGTTCAATTTCCTAACCACCTTGACTTCAACTTCAACATTCAGCCAACAAGTGAGGTTCGATTTTACAACCACCTCAGTTTCGTCTTCAACATCAACACAACCTCGGTCTCTTCTTCGTTCACCCACGACAACACATTTCTAATTCCAACTCTGATATAAATATCTACACTTGGACTTCGGGGACTATTATTTGGGGTTCAAAAATTCTTTCAATTTTTACTTCATTAAAGTCCACGCACTACATGAATGACCATACTTAGAATTGGGGGACTATTGTTGCATGTTGTCATACTTGGCCAATCCACTTGGGCTAATGGCCCACTCAGGGCGAACTACGTGGTACTCCAACCGAGGTGGCATATATTGCCGAGGTGGGCAATGGCTGAAGCCCTTCAAGCCGAAGTCCACTAGCCAAGGCGCCTTTTTACCAAGGCCTGTGGACGTACCCGAGGTCCACATGCAGAGGCCTATGAACCAAAGCCATGATGCTGAAACTAGTTGAAGATAGCTGAAGCCCTCAAACAAAAGTATTGTGTGAAATGGCCGAAACCCCGAAGCTGATACAGGAGCCTCCGGACCACAAGGGAGTGTCCTCCATGTTCACTTCTCCCAAGAGATCGTCTGCATAAAGATCTTATTCGAATGATTGATGGAACGTTTGTCATAAGTATAAAGGTCAAGTCTTGTCACTAGTATGGGGGCTCTGCACAAGCAATAAATGCACTGCAAGCTAGCAAGTCAAACCTCATGTCTGATAAGATGTTTAAATCAAAGAGATGAGGCTACCTGCTACCTCATCCAAGGACTCCCATTTCACATGTACCACTATAAATACTTCCCTTGTGTAACATCAAAAGGCTAATACAAGAATCAATACAAAGAACTACACTTTACTCAACTCTCTCTCGTTTACTTGCAATACACAAATCGAGTTTATACGTATTTACATATATATTTACGAACACCAGTTGGTAATTATTGTACAATCGGATCACGAACAACCCATCAGATTTCGAACGTCACCGTCCCGCGTCGTTGGGCTACTCCCACTCCCTTTGAACCACTCGTTTTAGACCGTCCACGTGTCTTAGCGTGTTGGACATTCGCCCATGTGTGTGCGGATGGGATCGATATCTGTTGGCAACACTTTTTGGGATCAACACCAAGCTTCAAGAAAAAGTATATATAGGGCTTATAAATTCGCTTGAAAGTAGGTTGCTCGATTAGGAAATGTAATTTCTCTTTATATAGTATTTTAAATTACTTTCATATAAGTAGGTAGCCATCCATCATTGCATGTCCTGAAAATTTGAGATATGAGATGGAGGCGGGGATTAGAGATCTCCATTTGTCGTCTTGTTTAATTATTTATTTTTTTGACGTTTTATATACAACTTATATTGAAAATAAAATGATATATTAAAATTAAATAATTTATGATGGGGTTGATGTTCCCCATTTTAATCCCCGTTCTATTTAGTATTTACTATTTGCGACAAAGCAATGCGGAGCGGGTAGGTTGGTGAGTTTTGCCATTCCTAACTGGCTACCTCACCGTGGTTTAGTAAATCTATTACTAGGATAATTCAAAAAATATTATAACTGATTCTAAAGGTGTCTAGTTTTTTAAAATAGAATCATATTTTATAATATTCTTCTGCCTACTAATTTAAGTCAATATATATCGAGTTCTAAGCTAAGCCCTTGTTTGAGCCTCATTTTTGTCATAAAAACGCATTTTTGAATAGTGTAAGATGTGAATTTGTGGTTAAAAAATAAGAAAAAGTTTTAAATTTGCGTGTAATATTATTTTATTTAAAAATGTGAGGTTGAAATGATATCAAAATACGGTTTAAAAATACATTTTTGCTAAAGAATGGGGCTCAAAGAAGGGCTAAAGTAAGATAAGAAATTTTAAAGTTAAATACGTATTTTCTTAACAACCATATAATGTCGATAAATTATTTAAAATCGTTTTGCGATGACATGAGAGCTATTTGATGTTTTCAGAACTTTTGTGATAAAATTAAGGGATAATTGCACTAGAGATTCCAAACCTTTAAAACATTAGTAAACTTTTTCTAAACCTTTAATTTATTGCAATCATCATCTCAAATCTTTCGAAACGTTGCGACGAAATCTGTTTTGGACAGTTTCCGTCCAAATATCTATTAGTTAACTAAGAAATTTGACTTTGATTATGTTTTTAATATTTTTAAATGGGTAAAATAGTAATTTTTCATTTGCTATATTAAAATAAGTTAAAAATTAAATTAGAAAAAGGAAAAAATAAAAAGAAATACAAAATAAAGAACCTATCTCCCTATTCAAAACTCCTCATTTTTCTTCAAAGTACTATGATAAATTTCTTCACTAAAAAATGCTTCAACCATAACCATGAATTTCGTAGCCCTCTATCATTTGAAGGATTTATTTTTGTTTTTCAAGAATTCTGAGGTTTGAAAGTCACACAGAAAATACACACATTTTTCGCAAGTTTTATTTGTCAGGCTCCATCGTTTAAAGGACCAATCTGTGTTTATTTTATCGAGAGTTGATTTGGGAGGGTGAAGAAATGAGTTGCTTTCCCATGTTTTAGGAAAGAAAGTTACAAGGAGAAAGATTTTGTGGTTGCTAAGGCCAAAGATATCACTACACCACCTCCTCGTGGTATGCCTTGTTAAACAATTTTTCATAAAATACAATGAAACACAGATATTTTCAAATTAATTTGTGATAGCGAATCGAATCTCTATGAATACCTCAGTTTCGTCCTTTGGAAGATTTTTGGTAAAAGGACTATAAGTTGAGATATTTGATTGGAAATGCAGGTTCAATGCAATTTGTTGGGACAATGTGTGAAAACAAATCACAATGGAAGATATTGCAGAGATTATGAGGACAAATGATTGGAGTTGAAGGTGGGGATTGGTGGAGGATAGGGTCGGGAAACAAGATGAACAATGACTTTGTTCTTTATTGTTTTTTATTTAACTAAAATTTATTTTAATAAATAATTACTTTTTTGCCCCTTTTAAAATATAAAATATATGATCAAACTTAATTTTTAGATCAATTGATGAAAAAATGGATGGAAACCGTCTAAAATGACTTTTGGATGTAAAATTTTAATGATTTTTGATGTCATATCCCATCTAAATTTTTTTAATAAAATGATGTAAATTACGTTAAAAATTTGTATCACAAAAAATAATAATAATTGAAAATTTTCAAAAAAAAATACGAGTTATGCATCTCTTTTTAAGAAGCACGTTTAAAGCATTTTTTATTATTTTTGATATCTGTTTGAACCATTCGGTATGCTTATGATGTAGTTCTCGAAATGAGTTTCAAGATAACATAGAAGATTTGTGGATTCGGTTCGCGTACAATCATCAATTTTTTTTATAGTTAGCATGTTATCAAAAATCTCGAAATACTAGTTTGAAATGACCTATTTTGACAAGATGTAACATTTACAAAGATTGATCGTTTCAAGTGACATTAACAACGTAGAAAACTAGGCCGTAAGCACTTCGAAATAATATTAAAAATGCAATATTTCGATTTCATTTGATATCTCATAATGACTTCGAAAATTGAGACAAAATCATATAAAATTGAAAAAAAAGTTGGGTTCTTGTGAACCCATGCCCACTCCCGTGTTAGTTGTTTTACACGTGACATCTTCATGTGATAATTTATTATTCGAGTCATTAATTTCTATAATTTCGTTGCATCAAGTGACAAATTAATACATCAAATAATAAACTATCATTATGAATAGCAATTTGAATATAATCATGCTAAGATGCCAGAAAAATTCTGACACTCTAATTGGCATACACTCACAATGAGGTGGGTGGAGAGGCTTTTTTTTTTTTTTTTTTACATTTTTTATTCGTGTGGAATCGGTGCGGCCCATTCACATGTGAGGGTCGGTCAAGTAGATGGTATTTTTCTTCTGACAGCTCGGTTTTATCCACTTGAATATGTAGAAAACATTCCTGTTTATTCTTATTTTTTCTTTACAGTCAATAATACCCTCATATTGTCCTTTAGATGAAAAATATATTATACAATCGCTACATACTATGTATCTCCATAAAGGTCCAAATTGTCAATTATTATGATCATATGTACACAATACTAACGTGATCGTAACATAGTAACACATAACGTGCAGCGCAAATATGGTAAACAATAGTTCTCTAATACATACAAAAAATTCTGAAGGCATCAACCTACTCGACTCTAATCACTCTATAATGACACAAGTCGTCAATTGTAGTTCTCTTAACCTATTTATAGAGGCGAATTCATCCAATGTGGTTCTCGCTGAAGGCGGGAAAAAATTGTTGTTTCTAAGTAACTATCTCGATCAATGTAACTGCAGCAAAGACGAGAAAGAGAGTGCCACCAATGTAAGCAATAACCTGTTCAAGAGAAAAAAGGTTCACCATATCACAACATGTAAAATGAGTAGAAACATAAAAATCAATACTAGTGAATAGTGAAAATCAGTTTTCATGAGAAATTGAGAATTAATGTTGTGATAGATTCTCAAGGGCAGTCGTTATGTATGAAAATGGAACGAGGAGCTTCATCTAGGGATATGTTGAGTGTTTACTTTCGTCTTTCAGGGCATACTTGCAACTGTTCGACTGATAAATAATGACCACCGAGCCACATCATCCAGGAGGACAATATTTCCCAATCAAGGAAATGCCATTACGCAAGGACGCAATCAATTGACAGCATATCGTGTTGAGAGGGTGAATAATGGTTCATCTACGTGTATACCATGTTGATTGATTAATAAAAACAGAGTAAGCCTACCTTCTCCGATAAGTATGTTCCCAGAAAAGAACCTCCTAGAACAGCGAGCTGCAGATATAAATTGGCATTAATCAGCAAAATATACATATATGACCTTATAAGAAGAATTGTTATTTATGGAAATCTATCAATTGCACTAGAGATTCAATAGCTAAATGTGTAATAAGAGTGTTCTATTGCAAAACTGCTTAGAATTATTTTTGTGAATTGCCATTAATTACGGTCCTATGGATATATACATGGGATATAGCTAAAAGTTTAAGTTTGAAACTTGAATTTACCGTTGTTGCAGCTCCGTGACCAGCTAATGCCCCGGCGATGACTCCAAGAGGCGACGAGGCGGCAGCAAGTGCTGAAAGAGAGAGTATCACAATAATGCTGTTAGATACAGAATGCAGCTTGCACTGTCTAAAACAAGAGCACAAGTGTTCTGTCCACTTAAAAACACTGATATTTCGATGACAGAACTGAATAATTCAAAAGTTCAATGGTATTGTGTAGGAAGAAAAATTACTACTTCTAAATTTCATAGCCTTGTGTTCAGGATGATTCAAGTCGTATTTTTTAGATGGTAGTTTCTACGATTCCTAATGGTGTAATATTATAATCTAGAAGAGATTTTCTTCAAAATGACAAAGCAACCAAGATTTTTATTGCATCGTAAATGAGTATAATGTTGTGACTGTAAAAATACAAGCAGTAACGTTTTTGTTCTTGACATGCAAACTTCGATTGTCCTGAAAGATATAGATTTCTCAACTAGTTGATGCACAAAACTATGAGAAATTCTAAATATTTAATAAATACATTTTACAATCATGCTACGTGTACACTTTATTTGACATCATTTTTGACATTATGTGATGTGTCGTAACATGAGTGGACAATTTTAAAATGAAGCACTAAAGAACCATTTGCATGCTTGATCTTCTCAATACCACGTGCAGTATAAATATTTGAACATATCAACCTAGATAATCTACTTGCTTCTAATTAATACATTTTACAATCATGCTACGTGTACACTTTATTTGACATCATTTTTGACATTATGTGATGTGTCGTAACATGAGTGGACAATTTTAAAATGAAGCACACTTTCCCGCCCATTTCAATTTGAAAGTCAATGGAGTGTCAACCATAATGTAAACAAAAGAATGTACAAGCGAATTATTCCTACATTTTATACTCCAATAGAATCTAAGATGCCTTTTACAAAAAAATTCAACACTTAAGCATTGTGAAGACACGATGAATCTTCTACAAATTCTCATGAATATTCAACAATTCAGTAAATTATTAGTGCATGAAAAGTTGGATGAACTCTGAGTGATAATTCATTTACCAAAGAAAGAAGAAAGAAAGAAAGATTATAAGTTTAGTTCCACACTTGAATACGTATATAATGGACTAATATAACACTGAAAACTCAGATAAAGATGCAGAAACGTGACTGGATCTTTATTGGTGATAAAATTAAATTTATCCCTTTTGCGTAAATGCAAAAATTATTAAAAGTAAAATGTCCACTTGTATCATAACCATAGGACAACCATGCAACTTGGAGCGCAATTTGCTATTTCATGTAACATCTTGAAAGTGTAAAAACATATCATCAGGATTGATTTTGGCTGAAGTCTCAACTAGATTTTGTCATTAATTAGCAGAAGATTCACCTCCTTTTGTTCTTCTCCTGCTTTTAGGCCATCGCCAGAAGAGGCTTCAATCAAGGATGAAATACCAAAATATACCTGTGATCCGTCAAAATATCCATGCCAGTCAATTTCAACAAAATTGAGTTTTTTTTTGTTTTTAGTTTTTTGTTTATTTTTTTGTTTTTTGTTTATTTTTTTGTTTTTTTTTTTCTGTTCTTGAGGTCTTGTACAAAATGTCAAATGGTCCATGAAGTTAGTGTCCGTTCTATTCTAGCGAAGGTTTCAAATCCCAGGATTACCAGAAGACAAACTGCAGCAAGATCATCAACGGGTAAATCAGCACCACCAAACCTGCATTCATGAAACCACGAAAAGTTGGAAGTCTGATATGCACATTTACTTCAAGGCTTGACAAGGATATATTTCGAAAGAATATGCTAAAAAAAATTGATGGATTCTGCTGGTAATCATTTATATAAGCAAAAAAAATAAAAATAAAAATTAGTTATTCATTACCATCTGCCCCACATAAAGACTGGCAGAAAATGCAAGGTAAAATAATTCATTTAATTCCAGAAGTCATACAGGTGAAGCGTGCTGGTATTAAAAAATTATTACTGAACAGGTCAAAAAATATAGCATCTCTTTGGATACACGATACAGAATAATTTCGTAGTTTTTTACTTCCATGGACCTCATGTCCCACAAATATTCGGTTTAACCTTTCAGCCATTTTTTTCTATTTTAGAATTGGAGTGAAGAAAAGTGTAATATCGAAGCATCTGATGTGGAGTTTTAGCAATATTGTATATAGTTCCCTTTTCTTCCAGAATATCATATTTCAAATAGTCCTAGCAGAAGAAATTACAATGCTGAAGTTTTTACTGGTTTCCTGAGTTAATAATAATGCAGAAAATAAAAATCAGCTACCAATTTGATAATATAACCTCAACTTGATTTAGCTTCTAAAACATATATAACCTGAATGGGAGGATACCATCAACAAAGTGAAAAGTTCGTCCAAGAAAAACAGATATGATTGTCATTAACCTGTTCATGATACAAGAAGTTAACTGTGAATACAAAGGAAATAGACGTTACTGCAATTTCAGGACATATAAATTATTAACTTCCATGCTGAAGATAAATAAGAATATTTCCTATCTAGTAGTAATGTGATTTTTCATAGATTGAATATGGTGATTTTTTAATGTTGGAAGCATATCCAAGACTTTCTGAATTATCCTCAAGAGTCTGTCCAAACAAGAAACATATGCACCTTTATAACTCGATTGTAAAACTTCAAAGGTCTACCTATAATGCATTGCACCATACAAGTAGCAGTTTATAAGGCTTGACTAGCAACCCGCATGAGAACTAGGTTAATCTTGGCTAAAACTTCCATAATCAATTCTAGATAATATTTTGAAGGTAAGAAATATTCGGTTCTCATATTTAATATAAACGACAACATTATACTCCCAACAAAAGAAATTTGTGTTGAACCACTTCATGTAGAAGCTTAATCTCTTAGAAGGGAAACAAATTCATTTATTAAAAGTTTGTTTTCAACACGCCCCCTCATGCGTCCTTGGATTTATATTAGGGCCTCATGTGTGCACAAATTTCTTAATGAGGGTCACAAAGACTGAAGTTAGGACCTTTTTCTCATTTTAATACCATATTGAACTACTTACCTCATCTGAAAACTTAAGCTATTAGAGAGGGACAAATTTATTGAATTAAATTTTGTCTTCAACAATTTTCATTCATGGTAAACAACTTC